GAGAGAGAGAGAGAGGGGAGGGGGGCAGAGGGGGGATATAGGGATATTGGGAAGAAAGAGAAATTCAGAAGCATTTCCGCAATACAGGTTGATTGCGCACGATGACCACGAAACCGTTGACGCTGTTTCTGGACTCAAAACTCACGACCGCTTTGTCCGGGAGCTAATGCGGATGAAGTACGAGCACATTTTTGTTATGTAGGCGTTGCCGAAGGGTCGGGGTAGACGTGCCTAGTGCGGTCAAAAATGCATGGCGCAACTTATTGTGAAATATCTCCTTACCTATCGAACATAAAGTCTCTAACTTTTGCACAATGACTTATTTCAACTTGTCTATTTTAAATATTTTTAAAAACCTCCTGCACACTGTATTCTAGAAAATTCTTTAATAAATACTAATAAAAAATCCCAGTCAATGGTGTCTACCGATTTTTTAAAGTTTACAGCTCGGGCATTATCGCTTTTAAACGCAAGTCTATATTATGCCCATTGAACGTATGTTTAGGGAACCTTTAGCAAAGATAGTACATAACAAGATGGTCCACTTAGCCAAAAAAGTGTCCGCCGGAAGTCCACTCTTCGCTTCAGATGGCGCTGCAGATTGTTTTGAAGCTCTCCTTCGTTTCTCCAGAAGAAGAATAGGAATAGCACCCCCTTGCGGGCGCAGATCGACTGCTGTTCATCAGCTGTTCGGGTTCGTTCAGTGCGGAGTTTTAGTTGTTTTTTAAAAAAATGACCTCTTGCCTCTCATTCTAAAGTCAAATTAAACGAAGAAAACAGTCGCCCTTTCCTCCGGAAGAGGTTTTATTGTCAGCGTAGCCATTTTATAAAAGCGTTCTTCCGAAATTTGAATTGTTATTTATTCTACAACTTGTTAGTTTCACTTTGATTTGTTTAACACAAGTAGGGTGACTCTGTTCGCAAAGGGTGCGCATCTGCGAAGAGGGCGTCACCGAATTTTGCGGACACTTTTTTAATTGGCTCAAAGAGAGGAGAGGACCCTCTTGTTATGTAGACTCTTTGCCTTTAGGGCAAAAATGTGTTCACTGGTGATAAAAATATTTTTTTGTAAGACGTTTTGTCACTAAAAAGTGTCATTGGCGTGCTGTGACGTAGGCCACACGCGTATGCAAAATGTGTGCGAGAAGCTGGAAGTGCTGAGAACAATCATATTTTTCGCGTGATGGAGATTTATAGCACTTTATATACATTTTTGAAGACAAGTTTTTAAATCGAGCCTCAATAAATTATTGTTGTGGAAACAGATGATTAAGTTGAGACAAACTGATGCAAACCGATATGCAAAGTAAGGGTGACATTGAAGCACCCGTCAAAGAGATATTTGAGGATACGTTGCGCCACGAATTTTGACCGCACTAAAATATTTTACTAACTAATCTGTCCAGCGCCATTGTCATGTCCTTAACCAACTTTTTTGTCCAGTCTCTTCTATCATAAGCCCAATGGCGTCTTGGCCACACACTGCCTCTGTTCTTCTCCACTCTTCATGTTTGCGCTGTTTTCAATCTTCCCCTGTGTATTATTCTATTATGTCTAAAATATGGCACTTCACGCTTTTCGGCTGCTTTCCAGTCATTTCTGGTCTGCAAGTAAAAGGAGTACTTCATCGTTCGATGCCCTGTCTTTCCAGCTAATCTTTGCCTCTTTCGGGAAGTACACATTCCAAAGGCTTCTATCTTGCTCTTTGTATCTTTATAAAAATGATCATGTTTCAGTTCCGATGAGGACCATAAGAATAATGTAGCATTTCATCATTTTCATTTTTAGTATGATTTATAGCTGTCTGGGTATCAAACTATTCTTCAGCCTTTAGTGAAAAAGGAAGTGTACAGCACATAGGTTTAACCCCGCTATCAACACTATTAGGTTACTTAAGAGACGGGACCTTTGATTTTAATGACCATCTTCGACAGGTCCGAGTCAAATGGGCCCAGAGCCTTGAAAACTCAACCAACCGACCCGACTTCAAGAACGCCAAGTCTGGAATTCGAACCAGGGCCATCCGTTCTGTAGTCCAGCCTGATGGCAACTGGGTTAAACAGAGCACCAGCCTTAAATACATGTAGGGCAAAGCTTCCGACAAGGACAGCATTTCTTTCCAATAGAGTTTCCAAGCAGCCAAGATAGCGGACACTCACAAGTTGTGACACTGAACCGTTCAAGGACGTAATGTCAGAGTGAGCGTGGGATTGGCTCAGTTGGTGACGTTCTGGGTTGTGGAGCGTGCAAACCGAGGTTGAGTCCTCAAAGGGACATATATAAAACGTTTCCTCTTTAAATGTTCATATGCCCTTTCCGAGAGGTGGTATCAACAGTCTACGCAAAGCAGAAAGAATAATAATACCGATACAATTTAGAC